GTATGATCACTTTCACTACCATCTGCTTTTATTTTCTAATTGATAGATGGATCTTATTATACTGATTCCCTATCTTCCTTTTTTTTAGATGTTACTTCCAAATTCTTTTGTAACTTGAAAATAGGCAGGGATTTTTAAGACTCAAATAAACAGATTTTCTCTTTCTTCAGAATACAAATTATCAACATCTGACTTAATTTATCAATGCCTCCATTGCCTCAACGTGAAATAAGGGCAACAATAAGGATTCAATAAGATAGTTCAAAGAAAGTCTTTACTAGATCATGTTAAGTGCTTAATAACATCTATTATTCTTACTGCTATTATACTCACTAATTTTTTGTTCATTATTGAAAAAAAACTTATTCATGATTGCTATGTATTATACATTATTGGTATATGTATAAAATCTTATCTATTTATGGTAAAATGTTCCAGAGCTCCACTGGATGCAGTAAACTAGGGAGCAAGGGGAAAGTTTCATGTCACAGACCTGGGTTCTCATCCTGGTTCTGCCACCAAATTGCTACATGACTCTAGGCAAGTCATTTTAATGTACATCCCAATTTTTGCTTCTGAAAAAGGTTACCCTTGGGTATGAAGATTAAATGAGATCATGTGAGAAGAATTTTTTTTTAAGTACTGTAGTATTCCTGTGATGAAAAACTCCTCTCTTTGGGAATAGTGCACAAGATATTAATAAGAGAGATAAATGGCCATGACCCTTTTATTTACATCCTTAAATGACAGCACAATAATCTGAACTGTCATACAAATGATTTTGGAATGTTGCCCAGGCATGGCTATTTTTTAAAAATTATAAGCAGAAATATTTAGTATTTTCAATATTTCTGCCAAATGACAGGAAAAAACATGGATACAAAAGTAATCTCAAGTGTTTTTTAGGTAGTATCTGCTAAAATCCTCATTTGTTGCCTTTTAGCATAATTGTTCTTTTGATGCAGAATCCCAAAGCCTCTATTGGCTCTAGGCTTTTATTTAGTATAAATTCTAATTACACACATATACATGCGTATGAACAATGGCAACTGCTTGTGCTGGTAATTTCCATTTGTAGTTTCCTATACTCTAGGACATTTCTAATATTCCTGTAAAATTATATAATATAGTTTATAATTTTTAATCTTAATTTTACTGAAAAGAAAACTGAGGAGTTATAACATTTTCTTCATATGTTTAAATTAAATTACTACATTTTATAGGACCAAACAAAAGTCTGTCACCTATTTTTGTATCATTGCTTAATAACTTGAAAAGATAAAATGTATGTCTTTGACAACATTCTTTGTGGAATGTCACCTAATGAAACACGGGAAATAAAGTTATAAAACTCATATTTTGTAAGAAATATACTACTGAAAAGCAGTGTAGAAACATTTTAAAGTCAGATGTGTTTTAAACACAGCAATATTCTTCATTTCAAAGAAATTGAGTTATGAAGTCTCTTATGAATCTCACCCTAATGGCAATCTCTTAATTTACTAATGTATAAGTTTGCTTTTTCATATATTCACCTTTCTTAAGGTAGGAGATATATACATCCTCAAGACACTGCAGACCTTAATTTAAAATACCTAAATGCAATTTAAAATATGTAAGTACAAATTAAAAAAATAAAGCTGCATAGAAATAATTTTTAAAATTTTATCAACTCTAACCAGTTTTAAAAATTGATTAAAATTTTAAATTTAAGAACTAGTTTAAAAACATAATTAATATAAAATGAGACAGAACAAAGATAGATGGATTTAAGTTTACAAATAAAACTGAAACAGAAAATAAGAGCACCATGTCTACCTGTTTATAATAAACAATATTCAAATACCAACTACTTTTAATACATTATATTAATTTTGTAGTACTCCCACAAAACACACTATATTTAACTCTCCAGACCTAATACATGTGCATCCTTGTACTACAGACTACACAGGTGTGGTTAACAGCATATCTTCACAGTACATCGTCAAAGGGCCTGTATATTGCATACAATAGAAAAGGAACACATCTAATGAAGACGCCACGTTAATCTACTCAAGACTTTGTCAAAGCATATTTCAGTAATACAGGGTAAGTAAAATCCTGCTGATTTTCAAAACTAACATATATGCAAATGGAAATATGTGAAGTCAGGTTATAGGCCTTACAGAAGTTGTTGTTTTCAGAGTTTGTGTCATCGTTGGTCATATAATGACACAATCTCCTAAGTATATTGGTCATATACTTTAGAAAACACTCTAAAGTAGATCACTTATAACTGTTTATGCCTCCATCTTCTCCTGATGTTTTCAACCACATGAGATGGTTAAGAAGTCCAGAACCTTATCACCAACTTGTTCAAAGTTTTTATAAATATACATAAAATCTTCTGTTGGTAAAAGTATATCTCAATGGTTTATAAAAATATGGGTAGGAAGAATAATCTTCTGGCTTGAATTAGGAATCTCTAAATAACATCAACTTGCAAAGCACATAGAAGCCCCTCAAATATTTGTCAAATGAGTAAATGGGCATCAAAAAGCCTGCTTCCCATTAATACAACTGCCTGAAAGGAAACTGTGAAAAAGGAAAAAATGGTATTCCAAAAATATCCTTAAACAAGATACTTGTAAAGCGCTTTGTAAAAACTAAGGCCCATAGGGAGCTCTATGTAAGTAACTTCATTACTGTTATCCTGTAAACTTAATTTGGACCACAGCAAACTGTATAGATGCATCGGCCTAAGCCATTACACCACTGGCAAAAAGAACTCATATGTGAATTGCACTACTAGTGAGGACATTGGTTGCATCTTCTTCATATGTGAAAAAAGGCCTATCTTACAAGTTTACCAACCACTCTCACAAAAGTTGACTCAGTAAGACGTTAATAAGAAGTGCGAATTAAGCCTTGTAATTTATTCTACCACAATAAATTAATCCCTAATAATCTGTCTTCCATCTAACGTATTTATATAATTTAGAACTTCACAAGGAACTATTAACACGATTCATTTTAACTTATTTTGAGGAAATGCAAATGAAAAGAAAACATCAAAATCCCAATTGACAATTGAGCTGCAAAAGTTTTCCTTCATATTGAAACAGACTGTAATATAGGAGACTGCTTAAAAAATGTTTGGGATCTGCTCTCTTACACTTTGCTGACCACAACAGAGATGAAGATTGAGGTAGTTTGAAAATTCTATGAGGATTAAATCAGACTGCATTCTCCGTATTCTCTAGGGAAGTAAGCTTTAGGCATTGTGAAGTACCCTCAACTTCCAGGGACCAAGAATAACAACTACTGCAATGAAAGAGCAGAGTAGTTAGGGTTAAGGAGGTGGTTGCTTCTATAATGAAATTAGCTAGAATACTTATTTGCTGACATTATCAAAGTCAGTTCCATTGGTTTGAGTTGAGGCAGTGTAACTTTTGATGAGACATTTAGATTTATAACATAAGAAGCTATTTTAAACACAACAGAGTTACTCTCCATTTCAAGGAAATCCAGTTATGAAGTCTCTTAACAAAGCTTACCTGAATGATCCCCTAATTTACAAAATCACAATACAAAATGTATTCATGACATATAACAGGGGAAAGGTCTACTATACAGTGTTAAAAATAAATGATAACATATAACATAAATGCTAAATAATATAATTTATAAATGATGTAAATATAACTGCATTAAGGAGTTTAGCTAAAGATATAACCATTTAGTTTAATCAAAGTTATCAACAAAAGCAAAATAAAAAATTTCATGTACAATTCGGGGAGGTTAACAGCAGCAAGCCCCATAAATAAAACTGTGGATAAGTCAAGCAACAGAGATGAGTCCCAGCTGTAATTATGCTATACTTTTACTTCTCATTTGCAAAAATGGCTAAAAAGTAACAAAAGTTGTTTTTAAAATGTAAGTAATAGTTTTTATGTGTGTAGTAATGGTATCAATCACTGTCCAAAGAGGGACAGTTAAGGCAAAGAAGTATAGGGGAAATTTAAAATGCATTTTTGGAACAATAATAACTTGTGGAGACAAATAAATTAGATTCCTATACAACAAAAAAGCTAAATTATCTTTACTTTAATTTCAAATATTAGAAATACAATCTAGATTAGGAGTCCATTTGTTCTTTTTCAGTTGTTCTACAAAATCCTCACATGGTTAAATGCCTAACTTAATACTTTTCTATTACAAACTAAGCCAAAATATGCATCTTTCAAGTAATAAAAAACTCCTCCGCTGAATAAATATAAAATAAAACCTCCAAATATAAACAAAAGAGACAAAAGTAACTATGAAGCTAATTTAAAATGTGATTAGAAATACACATGGAAAAGTTATCTTACAGAAGATCTTGAAACAGAGAAGATATAAAGGGGGAAGCATACTGGTTTCCATTTTGAAGGTTTTATTGTAAAACACTATTTCTGAGAAGATCATTCTAATAATAAATCCTTTTCTTTTTCACTTAATTAGGTTGGTAGAACTATGAGAGCTATCAAATAGGCAGCAGATAAAGAAAATGAGGACTTTCTCCTCTTCCCCAACTAAAGCACTATTAACAAAGCAAATATTATTTATACAATTGTTGTTTTCTTAAGTGTTTGAAGTTGTGAGTTGTCAAAGACATAATGAAATGATTAAGATATATCAAAACTGTAACTTCACAGTGCTCAAAAATGATAAGTCTCTTACAAAATTAATTTTAAAACTCATACAAAATAACTAATCATAGATGAAATGCTAGATTATGCTGGTATACATGGTAAAACAAGTTTACTTTGTCTGAATGAATAGGATATGTTTAAAACACAAGTGAGTCGCCATACAGCAATCACTCTTCTAAGAAATGATTCAGAGAAAAGACACATATATACCTAATTTATGCTTTAGATGTAAAAGTCATTCTGACAGTTAATGCTATTAAAATATTTCAGTATTACTTGCAATTCACGCATTACTAGCAATTCACACATTACTAGATATGTTACCTCAACAATATCCGAGTTGGTTCTGCTTTCATGAGGTTCATTATATTCTGTATACTTGAGAAGAACTTTGTCCATATCAGTGCTAGCATATTGAAACAGTTTGTTAGAGCTGTTGAAAATGATGAGTGCTATTTCACAGTCACAGAGCACACTAAGTTCATAGGCTTTCTTCATTAATCCAAACTTTCTCTTTGTAAAAGTGACCTAAACAATAAAAAAGGTATATTTTTATTAAAAGCATTAGTAGTACTTGAATATGGGCTATCTGAAGATGAATCTTCTTCTTAATACTGAGCCAGATTTCAAAGATGGAAAAGGTTCCCAGCTTCCTGCTCCATATGAGCCTTCCCTCTCCCATTGTGCTACAGTCCTACATTTGTTTTGTATATGCAAGCTCTCTGACAGAGCTGTCTCCTGGGGAAGTATTTCCTTATCCTTGGCTGCCACTCCACTACAGAAGGGAAGAACCACAGAAGGAAACAGCTGATCAGTGTTCCCTTATCATTCAGTTAAAATTGTTACCATCAGAAACCGCAAATCCCAGCCAGGTAACGTAGCATCAGCCAGACTTTAATCCCTAAACAACCAAATACATCTACTAATCTAACATACTTCTCCTCCCTCCCAAGCCCTTCTCTATTGTCTCCACTGAAATTCACAGTCTGGGATCAGCAAATTCCCCAGAGTCCTCAAATTCTTCTTTAACTGAAACTTGTTACCTGAAATCCTCTCTAACAGAGACCCCTCCCCAACCCCGCCAAATTTTTAAATTTACATCCCTTATACTGACTGAAGGCCCTAGAAGAGATGTCTTTTTATGCTCTGTAATCTCTCTTTGACACTGCTTTTCTTTCCCTCCCCTTCAAAAACTTCAAATATTTTGAAGCTCATGCCATATAAAAATTATGCCACCCAACAACCCTCCTTGGGGTGAGCAAGAGTTACCCTTGATCCCTCTTCTTCTAATAAGGGATGGGAAAGGAGTGCGAGGGAACTCTCTGCACTTTCTGCTCAATGCTGTTGTGAACCTAAAACTTCTCTAAAACATAAAGTCTATTTAAAAAACAGTTTTTGAAAGGTCAGTAAGAATGTACTTTTGAATAATCTTTGGAATTGTGAAACAACATAAAGTTCAGCAATTTTCCCCATGGATATCTATCATATGATTTTCTTCCTATAATTTTAACTATTAGGCTAGACTTAAAATCAGTTATTGCAGTAGCTATTAAAGAAGTAGAGGATCTTCAGTATCATGAAAAGCAATTATAGCCACTAGAAATTTTTTTCACAGGCATAACTTTAATATCCTCTTTCATTACAGGTATAATATGTACATGTAAAAGCAAAACAACAACAAAATTCACTTCACATGTACAATTCAAAGACATTTCTGTATTTTTTCAGTCTGTTTTATTTCCTATGTAGCATGATAAAATTAAACAGTAGTACAGTAGTTCAATGGTTTTCACTAAATTTAAGCAGAGTATCTGTTTTCTCCCTATAGTAACACCAAATTCATTTAACATCTACACATCTTAGCATTTAATCACTTTAATCACTCTTAATTTTATGTAGATCTAATCTCTTTAATCGTCTCAAAACCTTATGTCTCCTCTGTATTTCTCAAGTGCACAAAGCACAATACTCCAGGTATTATATGACTGCTCAAATATTCTGTTAGCTAGTAAACTGAATGAAAATAGAGTTGAGAAGGTTCTTTAAATTTTCATTTAACAAGAAAATTTAACTAGCCAATACAATCTAGTCTGTTCAAGATACATATTTACGTGTAAATTGTGTCATATATCCAAATCACCTTTTACGAATTATCTTTGAATACTGGTCTATATTTGATACTTTAAAATTCTCGGCAGGGCACGGTGGCTCACGCCTGTAATCCCAGCACTTTGGGAGGCTGAGGCGGGCGAATCACGAGGTCAGGAGATCGCGACCATCCTGGCTAACACTGCGAAACCTCGTCTCTACTGAAAATACAAAAAATTAGCCGGGCGTGGTGGCGGGCGCCTGTAGTCCCACCTACTCGGGAGGCTGAGGCAGGAGAATGGTGTGAACCTGGGAGGCAGAGCTTGCAGTGAGCTGAGATTGTACCACTGCACTCCAGCCTGGGGAACAGAGCAAGACTCCGTCTCAAAAAAAAAAAAAAAAAAATTTCTCAATATAAAACAGATACAAGTAAAAAAACCTCAGCATCTGTTGATGTACTTGTTTTTACAAACAGATTTGGGAACAAACAAAAACAAAATAGAATACAATGGAGGAAAGCAATAAGGAAAGGAATGAAAAAATACTATCACTTATGACAAGAGTATTATGCCTAGAAGATTAGATTATAACAAAATATAACAAGTCTCAAAGCAAGAAAACAAACTGCTAAGAGTCTACATTTTGCCTCAATTTTAGTGTTTTCAGTTCAAAAGAAGTTTTTGGTTGTCATACAGAGATTTTCCTTCTATATATAGCTACGACATCTAAAAGTGAAAAATCAGTAAAAGCCAACTAATTAATTAGTACAGTGTTAATTACTAATTTTACAATATAGGCACGTTTTAGTTCATAAATTTCATATGAAAGAGGTAACGTAATCTAAAATTAGGCTACAGAATACTAACTACATAATTAAAACTCAAGATTCAACTTTATTATTCTAAGACAATATTTTTAAACTGATGATTTTAATTACGTTAAAATGATGTAAATTCTTTATATAAAGAAATCACAAAATTTAGTTATAAATTCAAAATGGAATAAAGTCGTGTTTACTCCTTTCTACTCCTCTAAAACATGCATACATACACATACATACATACATACATACATACATACATAATAAAAAAGAGACTGGGTTTTCTTCAAGGAAAGTAAAATCCCAAACTACAAATTTTCATCTGCCAGATTTGATGAAACTTAGATGAAAATCAAAGTGGATTCAGAGAATTCACACTGAGTTCTTCACAAAAATGGCAATGTCCTCTGAGAGGATCCTCTGATTAGTGCCAGAAGATTCACAAGTGTGAGAAGTCCCTGAAATAAGAATCTTGTTCTAAATGTAGAATGCCAGGTAAGGTGGAAACAAAGCAAATAAAGAAAATAATTTTATAGGAAAGCTATTTCTGTTAACTCATACCTAATTGCCAAAACTGTCAGAGATCACAGATCTAAAATGTGAGCTGGTATGGCTCAGAAAAGAATGAGAAGAGAAAAAAAATCAAATCATAACAGAGATTTTTAGCACAATAATAAAAATCAAAGAATCAAAACAGAAAACTAAAATGAATAGAAAAAAAGTTGTTTGTATTGTTGACAGATAATGAAGACACCAAAAAAGCCCAGAGCAATTGACAAAGGGAAAATATTTATTAAAAAATAAAATACAGAAAGGCTATACCATCTCTTAAAAAAAGTGACAAGGAATCAAATTCATGGCATATTCAGATTAAGTTACTGAACGTCAAGGTCAAAGAAAGAATACCGTGTACACCAAGGAAGGAAGTGGGTCACTTTTAAGAAGGGAAAAAACTCAGTCTGGTGTTAGAATTCTGGCAACATTCAAAATCAGAAGACCAAATCTCTACGATGTTCTGGGGAAAAGAAATAGGGCCTATACCTAGAACGTTAGACCTAGCCAAGTTAGACTTCAAGTATGAAGACAATAAACATTTTCAAACTTAAAAAAACTGATGAAGTGTAACATCTACAAGTCCTTGTTAGGGGTAAAAAAAAAAAAAAAAAAAAAAGCATTACTTGCTGGAAAAAAAAAGTCATCTGAGTAGAATGTAAGTTGAAAAAAGTTCAATGCTGCACACTCAGCTTCTAAAACAAAGATCCTGTGTAGCAGTGAGTCGGTGCTAAAAAAAATTTGTTGAATAAATCTGTAAAGGAATAATGAAGAAACAGTGAGAAACCCCAGAGGTTATGCTGGAAAATGTACAGGGTAATGGGTGTGGAGGCTTGTATTCTGGAGAAGAAATTGGCCAGTGGGATTATGAGAAGACAATTTTTTTTTTTTTTTGAGACAGAGTCTCGCTCTGCTGCCCAGGTTGGAGTGCAGTGGCGTGATCTCGGCTCACTGCAAGCTCCGCCTCCCGGGTTCACTTCATCCTCCTGCCTCAGCCTCCTAAGTAGCTGGGACTACAGGCCCACCCTGCAACGCCCGGCTAATTTTTTGTATTTTTTTTTTTTTAGTACAGACGGGGTTTCACTGTGTTAGCCAGGATGGTCTGGATCTTCTCACCTTGTGATCCACCCGCCTCGGCCTCCCAAAATGCTGGGATTACAGGCGTGAGCCACCATGCCTGGCCAAGAAGACAAATTTTTAAAACAGCAGTTTGGGTTCAACTTGTGCTTCTCATCTCTGCTGCTTGGAACACTCAATGCCTGCCACATCACAAGAGAATTAGCAGCCATGCTGATGCAGACAGACGCCCTCCAGAATAAAACCTGAGGAGTACAGAAGTTCTGCTGGAGATAGGAGTTGAAGATACCAAGTAGAAACTGACTAACCTCTGGCAGTGTGACTTCTCAACCATTCTTACTCAGAACCTCCAAGTTTGGTGGATTACCAGGTGGATAAAGTATCTTCTTCCAATGTTCTTTTCCCTGGGGGGCTCTGTGTGGAGCTTCGATCAGAGTTCTTTGCGGATACTATGACTTTTGTGATGGCTGGGGCCCTCTAACAAATTTATATGATCAACTAGGATCATGTAGACTAGTACAAATATATACAAGATCACAGGGAATAAAAATCAACTAGACTGGTGAGTTAAGAGATGTAACAAACTAGATAAAAAACCAATATCCAACCTTTTATACTATCTATAAAAGACATACCTAAAACATAAGGAAACAGTAAGGATGAAAGTTAACACAGAGTTTCAGACCTATCAAGAAAATACTGGCTGGGCGCCGTGGCTCACACCGTAATCCCAGCACTTCGGGAGTACCAGGCAGGAGGATCACTTTAGCTCAGGAGTTTGAGACCAGTCTGGGCGACATGGTGAGACCTCATCTCTGCAAAAAGTACAAAAATTAGCCAGGCATGGTGCACATACCTGTAGTCCCAGTTACTCTGGAGGCTGAAGCAGGAGGATTGCTTGAGCGCAGGAGGTCAAGGCTGCAGTGAGCCATGATCATGCCAAGGCACTCCAGCCTAGGTGACAGAGCAAGACCCTGTCTAAAAAAAAAAA